TCAGGTTTCCCTGTTGGCCAGGGGCTCCTCCTACAAAATGCTGTCCCTCTGTTTCCTGGCTCCTGCCAGGGGCCCAGTTCCCTCTTGCCCCTCAGAAGGGTCTTCAGGAACAGGACCCGGCTCCTTCCTTGCTAGGGATCTCACCAACCAAAAGCCTACCTCTTTGCTTTAATTGTAGTGGGGCAATCTGCTCTCGGTGTTGTGTGCTGGTCCCCGTTGTCTGCTGCCTCCTGCACCCCCTGGTGCTCTCTGGTGCTCCCTGAGCTTGTGCTGCCCCGGTGCTCTGCCGCCCAGCCTGGGCTTGCGCTGCCCCGGTGCTCTGCCGCCCCGCCTGGGCCTGCGCCACCCTGGTGCTCTGTTGCCCCACCTGGGCCTATGCCTGTGCTCTGCCGCCCCGCCTGGGCCTGCACAGCCGGTGCTCTGCTCCATGACATTATTTTTTAAAAAACATTTTTCTTCCAGTATTTCATTAACTTATATAAAGATTGACCAAGTAGCCTGTCTTTGGACTTCGTAAAGCTTTTATTTATAAAAGTTAAAGTTAACTTAGCTTTACTAACTTTGTGATTAGAAAACTCCCTCAAATTATATTAAATATGTCAATGTAAACATGGGGGTAAAGATTGCTTTATAGCAATGGTGGTACTTTATATTAGTATATGAAGGAAGGATGTATTGCTTAAGAATGTATTAATATTAAAGACCTTTACTAGGTATCAAGTCTAAATAAATCCTAGATGGAATAAAAACCTATTCATAAAATAAAATGCTATTTAAAACGTAAGAGAAAAAAGAGGTATATTTTAACTATTTTGAAATAAATTAGATCTTATATAAACCAAACTCTTGAAGCCATCAGAGGAAAAAAATATATTTGACTATATAAAATAATTATAATAAGCCATATACAATGATTAACAAATAAATAAAAATACTGGAGGAACTATTTGTAATATACACAACAAAGGTTAAAATTCTTAATGTATTAAGAACTCATATAAATAAATAATAAAGAGATGAGTACTCTTCAGAAAAGTAGAAAAAGTCGACAGATAGGTAGTAAACAGTATAAGATGTATTAATGGCCTAATCAAAGATACTAAGTTTTTATCAGCAATTGTATAAGTATCAATTTTATAGACCATTTATATTTTGATACTGGGGGACTTTTTTTTTTTTTAGCAGTGCTAGGGATCAAACTCAATGCCTCATGTACATCCATATGTGTGCATTTTTTTTTGTCTTTGAGCTTCAAAGACTTAATGACTTAAATGAATCATAATTTTGCTGTTGGTTAAAAAGGGTAGGAAAACAGAAGTATGCCTGTGGTGGAAGTATAAACTGCTGCTGTGTATTGCTAACTTTTTGAAGAGCCATATAATAACATCTTAAAAAATCAAAATTAATATGATTCTTAGTATAGAAATTCAGTTCTAGGAATTTGTTCTGAGAAAACAGTCCAGCTGTGAATGATCCCAATTGTATGTATGAGGAATAGGATGCTAATTTCATCATTGTTTATACCTGCTTCCATGCTGTATTGTTTCTCTTTTTTTCTGTGCTGGGGAATGACTGTAGAACCTCATGCATGTTAGAGAAGTACTCTACCATAGGGTTGTTTTTCCAACCCTGAATTGCTTAAAATTTTCAAGTATAGTTATACTTGAAATTTTATAATTAGTAAAAACAATAAAACTTTTTAATTTGAAGAACAAAACATTGCTTTAGAAAAGACACATGTTTGTCAAAAATATAATCATATAAATCATATAAAGGTCTCTATTGAATCTTAATATATACTTGTAACCATGAGGAAGGATGGGGAAAAATAAGAAGGAACCAAAAGATATTCAAAGGGAAGAGTGCTATTAGTAGAAGTTACCCCAGACTAATGTGGAACTCAGGATCTTCCATCTGGGATATCAAGGACAGGTTCCACTATTCCCAACATTACTTTTCTACCAGAAATAAATGTCATTCTCTTAAAAAATGATTATGTCTTTTGTTTCTCTGTGAATGGAGAAAGATTGATAAAGTTTTAAGCAAAAACACTTATAGCATCTTAGAAACCTTATTTTTCTTAGTTAACTGTTTATTTTCTCAAAATACTTCTTCCTAAACTATTATAGATGCAATTTTCACTTAATGTCCTCTAATAGGAGCCATTTGGCCAGATCAGAAAAGGCAGAACACAGAGTGACAAATCTTGAGTGATGTCACTCATATAGAATCTAGAGAATTTAAAACACAGAGAGGAAAATTGCAAACTAGTGGTTGCTGGGGGCTGGTGATGGAAGGTCACTGGGAGAGGAGATGTTTGTATATATTGAAAGTTACAGGGCAAAATGGTAGGATACAAAAAAGTTCATGAGGTCAGTCTATAGCTGAGCAATCAGATTAAATAAGCATATATTGAATATCTGAAATTTGCAGAGGAAGTTGATCTTAAGTGGTTTCATGAGCTGATATCTATGTTGGTAAGCTTGACTACATGAATGAATAAAAAAAAATAAACTTATACCAAAGCATTGTGTTGTTTACTTAAATAGATATAATTTTTATTTGTAGTGCCTCTATAAAGTTGAAAAAATATTTAAAAATAATAAAATAGGGGCTGAAGTATGGCTTCTTATTCGAGTACTATGCACAAGGCCTGGAGTTCAATCCCTAACACTGTAAAAATTATATTAAAATAAATGGGCATAATTTAAATTGATGTTATATTGTGAAATAAATTATATATTTATTCACCATTTAGGGAGTTAGTAATTTTTCATATAAGATTTTGAAAATACTGCTTTATTTCATGTGAACTAGACATTGATATTTTTATTATTAATTGCAACTTAAGTATTCATATAAAATACCTGATCTGAATTGAAAAATTGTTATTTTAACTTTGAAAATTATGTTATTTAACTCATTTTTTTCTTTGTTAGATAACGGGGAAAAAGGCATATACTACAAGCCAGCAAATTTATCAAGCCATTAAGTCATTGTGGACAAAAAGCAGTGAAAAAGAATCACTCCCCGAACCAAAGGAAGGAACTAAGGTATACTTTAAATAAACCAAAACAGTACTCATTAAATTTCAGTTTCAGTAAGCATTGGCTCATATTGATGATACTACCAAGAGGTCAAAGATAAAATAGAGATAAATAAAAGACTCACAATAACTTGGTATGATATAATTTTATATTTTTTTAGTAAAATAATTTGCTTCTGAAACAACAATGTTTTTCATAAACAGGTAGGAAGGTCTGATGAAATACATGCCAAAACTCCTGACTCGAAACATTCAGTGTCTTTTCCAAAAGAACTTGCCTCTGCAACAAAGGTTAAATCGGAATCTACTGCAGGTTTGTTTGGAATTTTTAATTTTGTTTTCAGTTTTATTCAATAATTATAGGGCATTATAGTTGATACTCTGAACATCCATCTTTTCCTAAATATTTTCTCTCTTATATGTATGCTGTGATTTTCATTTTTGGTTATGAGGGACCTATATCCCTGCGATTTTTCCTTTTAAATCACTACGTAGCTGTAATACGAGTCTCCACGTGTGTGGGTATAGAGTAGTACTGTCAGTATGACTGAGTGAAGCATTTAATATCACTTTATAAATGTGAGCTATTCTATCAGGAGGAGGAAAATGTACCTTTCAGAATCCTATCAACTGACAGGTGTGAGTCACACCTACATAAAGCATATCAGCTTCCATTTCTCGTGCTATTTACCTGTCAGTCTCCTGTCAGGCTTAGTTCCCCTGGGCTGTGCTTTTATTAAGTACAGTACCAGAAGAAACTGCAGCATTAAGTAGTACATGCAGCATTGTTACAACTTTGCTAGTATTTACTATTGACAATTAATACTTTGTGGTACTAAAGAGTAATAGTTATACTTTTGAAAGATATCCCATCATGATCAAAAAGAATGTGGCCAAATGTTTAAAACTGCTTTGAGAACCTAGTCACTTAAACCCATCTGCCACAGATTTGCATGGATTTGCTTTTCTGTACAATGTGAATGATTCAACCCATAAGCTGCTTCATTGCAAAGGAAATCTGCCAGATTCAGAGGTGGAAAGGTAGAAATAGTTCTGTGATCTATTTATAAATCATGTACTGTGATAGAGAGTGCTTATAAGTATTGTATTCAACCATCAATACAAATCAAAATGAAAATCCACTTTTGATGTAGTGGTGGTTATTCCCATCTCATGATGGAAAGCTCCCAGAGTGTAAGCTGTTGCAGGGAACAGGCTTCTTGTTCATCCCGGCCACCCCGTTAGCTTAGCCCCAAAATAACGACAAACAAACTATATTAATTAAATCACTGCTTAGACCATTAGCTCTAGTTTCCTCTTGGTTAATTTTTATATCTTAATTTAACCCATTTCTATTAATCTGTGTATCACGACGTGGCAGTAGCTTACCAGGAAAAATTCCTAGTGTCTGTCTTCAGCGGATCCTTGGCATCTCTCTGACTCTGCTTTCTTCCTCCCAGAAATTCAGTTCTGTCTTCTTCACCTACCTAAGTTCTGCCCTATCAGGCCAAGGCAGTTTCTTTATTCATTAGCCATATGCACACATACCCTGACACAGGGTCTCATTATGCATTCCAGAGTAACCTTGTACTGCTAGGAGTCCTCCTGCTTCAGCCTTTTCAGTTCTGAGTGAAGCCTCTATTCAGATAAATTATAAGTTCCACAGGTAATTCTGTGTGTTCAACATTTTAAGAATATCTGAGGATCAAAGTTCTAAAGGTAGAAGGACCTTTCTAATTAGGAAATTTGAGTGAACCAAGGCTTTGATCAGACTGTGGACAGGAATGTAAATTAAGAGAGTAAGTAGAGATGTTAGAGGACTTAGGAAATTCACACCTGGTATGGGAGAATTGTCTGTTTTCTGTCAATCATGTTTTAAATAAATGCTGATTGGCCAGGCAGGAAGTATAGGCAGGTCAATCAGACAGGGAGTAGAGGCGGGGTGATAAAAACAGGAGAATTCTGGGAAGGAGGAAGCCCATTGCTCCCCATTCCTGCCCAGACCACCGAAGAAGCAAGGTGTCATCTACCCCGCTGAGAAAGGTACAGAGCCATGTGGCTAACATAGATAAGAATAATAGGTTAATATAAGCTACAAGAACTAATAAGAAGACTGAGCTAATGCAGACTCTCTCTGTGATTTTCTCTGGGACTAAACGGCTGGGGGACCGGGCGGGACAGAAGCCCCAACGAGCAGGCCTTCACGTTATAGCATGCGCTGTGAAGCAAATCTGAATGCAGAAGACACATGTAATTATTTGTCACATCCTACTAATATCTCTGCTTAATACACCTTTGTTGGAGGGGTGGCCACTGGCAGATTGTCCATGCCCTAGTGGAGAACCCCAAAGCTATGCCCATACAGGAAACATTAATTGGATTCAGTGGATTGTTTGAAGGAAAGGCAGGGGGTGACGGAGAGAGAGAAGATATGAAATGTTTGAAGTGGGAAGGAAGTCATATCAGGGGAAGGGCCAGAAGAAGCTAAAGGGAGGGAGTGGGGGTGGCTATGATTATGATACATCATACACCTTTCTGAAGGTTACTGATGATAGATAGGTTTCTTATGTTTTAAAAGATAGCCCTAAACATGCACATATGGGAAGCATGAACAGCACTTAGTGGTTTATCAAAAATAAATAAAAGGGCTGGAGAATTTGCTCAGTGGTTAAGAACACTGGCTTCTCTTAAAGATTACCCAAGCTTGATGCCTTACACGCACATGACAGCTCATTACTGTCTATAACTCCATTTACAGGGGATCCCATGCCCTTTTCTGGCTTTTGTGGATACCAGGCATGCATGTGGTATGCCGATATACACACAAACAACCATTTATGATAACTGATAATGATAATAATAATGTTAATAATAACAATAATAATATTGATATGAAGTTAGCAATATGTTTTGGAAGATACAGGGGTGGGAAATGGGAAGCAGTTAATTCTCATATATCACTGAGCACATATATGAAATTCTCCCCACTCTTGGATGGAACATAGTAGCCAATCAATGGCTACCGAAAAAGGGAAAATCTGTTTTCCCCAGGGACAAGCCCCGTGACAGGTTATCTGATCCCTTGTGGTCAGCCCTAAACATGTATACATATAAACAATAATGGACTATATTGTGTATTTCTGAAGTTTCATAACAGTAATTGCTTTCTTAGAGTCTCTTTAGATTTCTATATATATCTAAACCAGAATTTATATAGCCACAATTTTCACTGAAAGAAGATAGGAAAATTATGTATGTATGTATGTATGTATGTATGTATGTATGTATGTATGCATGTATCAGTAATAAAGAAGAGGTTATGAAGTTGAGAGTGGAGTTAGCATGGGAGGACTTAGGGGGGAAAGAGTGGAAATAATATAAATAAAGTACCCAAAACCTAAAAATTCGATTTAACAAAATTCTCAAAAATAAAGAAAAATTTAAAGAAATTTTCAAAGAATTAAAAAAAAAAGTTCAAAAAACTTTTCACATTATTGAGCAGTGGCTGCCACCAGGTGGCAGTGAAGATACATTTGAGAAAAGCTGAGAAGCACAAAACCATTAGCATTTCTTTACCCTCTTTTAAGCCATTTTCAAAAGTTTTCAAATGAAAATCAAATATGTAGTAATATATTATTGTATTTAGATATTTAAAAATATTATCTAGCAACAGAATTACTGCCTACTGTAATTTTCAAGTAGTACCATTTGAAAATATAATCTGTACGGTAATATGAAAACATCTAATATTTCTGTTGGCAATAAAAATGGAAACAATATTCTTGTGGTTTGTCACCTACACCTACTGAATAAAATATCTAATTTTTTAGAGATTAGAAAACTTGTCCATATCGTAGTCCCCTAAAAGGACCTCAGATGAAAAAATCCCTAATGTATGGTGAACAGTATTAATGTTATGGGTAGTGTTCATGACCTGATTTTTGAAATATATTTGTTCATAATTTCATCTATGTCACACTTTGTAAAGTATAAAATGTTTTTGGAAATACAGACATAATATAATCATTGTGTTCACTATTTTTTTTTCATTTCTATAGCTTTGAAGCCTGCCCTGTAACTAGCTCTTGTAGACCAGGTTGGCCTCAAACTCAGAGATCCCCCTGCCTCTGCCTCCCTGGTGCTGGGATTAAAGGCGTGCGCCACCACCACCTGGCTCTTCTCTTGTTTTAAATTATAAAGCTGAAAATATTCTGTGAGCAAAATCTATGGCTCTCCAAATTTATAAAATCATTTAAAAATGATTCAGACATTGGAAAAAAATAAAAAATAGAAGGAATTAGTAGATGTACTTTTCAGAGACTAGAAAATTTAAACTTATGTTGTTGACTACATGACTACTTTTGCTATCTTAAGACAAGTACCCTAACCCTTATCTTTTTCTAAGTAAACTTCCATTTCTAATCAATAATAGAAGTGCTTTTACTATTTTGTTATTTCTTGCTTACTTACCATGCACAAAGTATTATATGTGTTAAGTTGCTCCCATTATCTTATCTAATGCTAAAAGTAAGTGTGTGATGTTGTTACTATACTAATCTCCATTTTCAGAAAGTCAGGCCTCTGTAGGAGTCTTGACAAGCCTAGTCACTCTGGCTTCCTCACTTAGCAACTGAATTATAATAGTCAAATTAATCTCTCTAAATTAAAATCTCCTTATTTGCCAAATGTGAATAATTCAGACATGCATTGCTTAATGCCAGGGACAAATTCTGATGAATGTGCCATTACATTAGATGATTTCACCATGGTGGAAACACCACTGTGCATGTACGCAAATTAGTTAACATAGGTCAGTATGCAATGTGACTTATATCAACGTAACCCCAAACATGTGTGGTGCATTGGACTCTATCTTGCCTGGCACACAATTAATTTGTCAAGCTAACTATTAAGTCACATTATCAAATCTAAGAATAAGTTCTCAAGCTCAAACACGTGAAACCAATCAGTAACCATACTACAGTTTAGGCTCCCTCATTTTTGAAATAATCACTCCACTTGGCATGTAAGATATCTCTTACTCTTTTTTTCTTTCCTTTTTTTTTTTTGTTCTTTCGAGACAGGGTTTCACTGTGGTTTTGGAGCCTGTCCTGGAAGTAGCTCTTGTAGACCCTTCTCACAATTCTCTCAAATGTCACCATCCTTCAGGGAGCAAAGCAATGGCTTCTTTTCTGCTATGCCTACTTCTTTCTTCCTATATAGTCTCTTTTACTTAGGTAATACTTCTCTGATTAAACACAGCTATGCCATTCGTCTACTTAATGGTGACCCTGAACTACTGTGAGCCTCTCTTCTCTCACTCACCGACACCTGTTTGTCTACTGTATTCTAGCCATGTCATATTGGGGCCTCACACTTCCTTGCCTTCAGCTCATCCTGGAAGTCACTTCTCATAGATATCTACAGAGCACGTGTCTGCATCTCCCTTGATTCTTTGCTCAAATATCACCTTTCAAGAAACCCTTTCTAAGTCACATTATATAAAATTAGAAATTATCCCAACATTTCATGTGTCCCTCTGTGAGTTCATGTTCTGTGCAACATCTAACCGTCATAGAATGTATTATGTATTTTACTTATCTTGTTTATCTCACCCATGTGAGGCTCATGTTGAGATTTTGTTTTGCTCATTTCTATATTCCTAATACCAAATATAAATGTCTTCTTTTTCACTTTAATACTTCATCAGGCACTACACAGTTTCTTCCTGACCCCAACCTCATGGACCATGGGCAGTCTCATCCGGAAGATAAAGATATGTACAGCACTAGAAGCTGAAATGGACTACAGTGGGAGCCGGTGGAGAGGTCTGCAAGATGTATCAAGTGGGAAACAATGGTGAAAGATCATGTAATGGATGGGTAACTGACAGCATGACTCTACATGTTCCCATGTTTAATTCCAAATAAACAGTTTGGCCAATGATGCAAGTGGTTAAAACACAAATTAATGAATACAAAACAAGTAATATTAAGAGATTAATGAGGCAACTGAAGTAGAAGTACTAGGAGTATATTTTATGACTTGTAAGAGAATTTATTAGAAAGCAAAATAAGGTGAAGATATGAACGTCAATAAGACTAAAATATGCAAATATACATATGCAAATATACATATACATATTTATACATGTGAATCTGCTTCAGTTTTCCCAGTTTATTCTCATTTAACTTAGAGTGGTAGATAGAAGGATGTGGTTTTCTTTTTCCCCAGAGCTGAAATAAAATATCCATATTTTATGGCACATGAACTTGGATATATGTCTTTGTTTTATTTAGTTTAACTATTCTTTTTTTTTTTTTTTTTTTTTGGTTTTTCGAGACAGGGTTTCTCCGTGGTTTTGGTTCCTGTCCTGGAACTAGCTCTTGTAGACCAGGCTGGTCTTGAACTCACAGAGATCTGCCTGCCTCTGCCTCCCAAGTGCTGGGATTAAAGGCGTGCGCCACCACCACCCAGCTTTGTTTAACTATTCTTAAATGCCTGAAAACATCTTAAACAGACTGTATACTACATTGTCCTAGTATTGCTTACCAACTTTGATACTGCTTCCTGGGTGTTGTGCTTTTTCTGTTTTATTCCTCTCAGGCCTCACAAACCCATCAACATCATCTTTCCTATTTCATCGAGCAGAAATGTACAATTCTTCGATCCGACCATTCACGTCCAGTCACCTACCTTCCTGAGTTACTCTTTGCGCTGTGTTCTTTGTACCCTTTCCTAAGACTTGTGTTTCAACTCAGATCCCCGATTTTCCATTTTTACAGTACTGTACTTCATCTTGTTTAAACTTCAGTCTTCGGTTTCTCTTCAGTTCTATCCCTCAACTGGTAAATGGATTTAGTTTTTTTTTTTTTTTTTTTAAAGAAAATCCTAAAGCACAATACAAAAAAAAAAAAAAAAAGGACAAAACGTAACAGCCTCTTCCCTCAAACTGTCTTTTGACTTTCTTCCTTTAATTCCTATACATGTTTAAAGTGCTATTAATGTGTAAATGAAGTAAAGCACATTGATTATCAATAATACTTTAGTGACCATTACAGCCATTAGGTGTTAGATATTTAGGAGACAGGCAAGTATTGTTTGATTATTAAGGATGCTTCAAACCTCAGTCACTGATAACACACTGCCTGGAGTGCTTTACAATGGGCCCTGCCTTTCTTCCTGCATCAGCTTCTGGCATGTTGATGCACACCTTGTTTTCTGCTTCACTGTCAATTGAGTTTCATAATCAAATAAGCACAAAGCTTAGATGGCCTAGCAAGTAAAAGTCTTTTCCCTGAAGCCAAATGACCTGAATTAGAGCCCTCAGAGCCACATGGTGCAATGAGAGAACTGAATCTTACAGGTTATCCTGTGACCTGCACACAAGGCAGTGACATGCTTATGTGCCCACATGATAAATATTTTTTGTTTTGTATTTTGAGACGGGATTTTACTATATAACAGCCTTGGTTGTCCTGGAACTTGCTCTGTAGACCAGGCTGGCCTCAGACTCACAGAGATCTGCCTGCCTCTGCCTTCCAAGTGCTAGGATTAAAGGCGTGTGCCACTACTGCCCAGCTAAGTAAGTGTTTTTAAGTAAACGGAGTCCCCCTTATTATTATTATTATTATTATTATTATTATTATTATTATTATTATTGTTATACAGAGTTTTTCTTTGTAACAGTTCTGGCTATCCTGGAACTAACTTTTAGACCATGTTGTCCTCGAACTCAGAGATCCACCTGCATCTGCCTCCTTAGTATTGGGATTAAAGCCCCTTATAATTTTTTTCTACCATGGCTTCTACAATATCTCCAAAGAGAGTAAACCACTAATAGAAAGATTATAAATTAAGGAAGATTGTTCAGTGAAAATAAATGTTTTTTGTTAAGGCAAAGAGTAAGGTATTCTGTATTCATATGAGCTTTCAATGACTATAATTTGGAAAGGGCATATATGCAAAACCATGCTGCAAATTTAGATTCAGGTCAAGGACCGTATGTTAAGGACAAAACAGAAGAACTGAAAAAAAGTCTGTCTTCTCAACAAATTTAGGTTTTAAGTTATAACTCATATGAATTATATTGTTGTATTGCAATAGCTAGTTTTTGACAGCTTATTTAATAGCGAAACTAAAACCATTCATTTATAGTGAGTTTCTTAAGCAATGTGTAGAGAGTATGACAAATATAACACCCTTAGAAAGGGAGAGCTAGTTCTAAATAAATAGACCTCATGAAACCTCAGTCAGGCAGATTGAAAAATGGGAAAATCTATTGAAAGAAGTTTGGGAGTAGAAGCACTGATTGTAAATTTTATGCGTTAGAGGTGGATGACAGCACTCATACTACAGATGTGGTTGAATTTGATATGTTGATGATGGAACTGATGACAAATATAATTTTATTGGAGAAATGACTTCTTTAGGGACATTCAAGGGTAAAACTAAATAAAGAGATATGAAGTGGCAATGCATATGTTAAAAGAATTTTCCTTATCTAGTGTCAACATATTTAGTAGTTGCTGACAGTGTCCCAGCAGTGGGGGATAAAAGACAGGAATTTCTAAAATTAATACAAGACAATGAAATTACTTCCTCAAATGCTTATCTCATGAAGTGTATTACATAGCACACCAAGAGATTTTGTATGTGCAGTCATTAAAATGGGACTGAGATGGTCTAGTGGGACAAAGGCTTATCATGAAAGCATGAAGACCTGAGTCTAAATCTCTAGAAGCCAAGTAATACCAAGTGCATCAGTGCACCTCTGTAATCTCAATGTTTCTACCCTTTTACAAGAAGAGTGTGGAGATAGGAGGACCCTCAGAAGTTTCTGGGGTAGCTAGGCTCATGTTTGCAATAGTGAAGAACAAGAAATGTGTCTCAAGTTTTGGTCACAACACATGTTCTTGTAGTATAGATGTGCCCACACTCACACATTATTGTATACACTTACATGTACACTCATGGACACTTTTAAGTATTTAAAATGGATAGTGTCATGTACAAGATCAAGCCAGTCAAAATTCCAGCACAGATAGGAGAACTCCTGCCACCATGTTGAGGTCTTACCCCCTATCCAAGGAGCTATGACCCACTGAATGCTGCTAACAAATAGAGTCACTTTCTATTGGATATGTGGCCCCTGGTAGGTTGCTCAAGCCCCACTGGATGGCCTATAGCTATGTGCATATGAGCAGCATTAATTAGAGTCATCATTAAAAAATAATGTGATGTGAAGTTAGGAGGGAGATTGAGTAGAGAGCATAAAGCAGAGTTGGAGAAGTAGTAGTGGATGGATATGCTCAGAATACATTGTATAGATGCATGGAACAAGGAAACAGTAGACATGGCAAACTGGTAGGGAAAAGCCCAGAAGGCATCAACTCAACCCAAAGAAATGAAGGATGATGAGAGCAGGAGAAATAGTCTTCCTCAGAGAAGAGCACACAAATTGGTTATCCAATACCAAATGGTCAACCCTGAAATCACAAGTTACACTATACAGACTGAGCAGCTTGGACTTACATATTAGGAATATGTATATGTATGTAAGAACAATTAATGATAAAAGAGGCCACAAATTTGAAAAACAACAAGGAGTGGTACATGGGAGAATTTTGAGGGAGGAAAGGAAAGGGGGACTGATGTAATTATAATCTCAAAAAATTAAAAGCAGAGAAAAATAAAATCTAAAAAGTTAATATATTTTAATTATTTCAAACAATCTTGAAATTATAATTTTCATAGTTACCACTCCACTTTCCTACCTGAAAATCTCATATATCCTTCCTTGCTCTCTGTCAATGTGATGACCTCTTTTTCATTAGTTGTTATGCAAGTACGGGTGGGTGTGGATGTTGGTGTGTCTGTGTATGTGTGTGTTCCTAAATATATAAATACAACTTGCTCAGTCTGTACTTGAGTTTTTAAACCTGAATTTTATAAGAAGACCCAAAGGGTTAAACTATCACCAGCTAACAAAAATTCCTTAAAAATGTTGATTTTGACATGGCAGTATTTACTTTTAGAAGTAAGGTGGTTCGAGACCAAATGTTGAAAACAATGTGATTTTTGAGACATTATCAAGTCTTTTATGATATCACATACAAAATTCATGCCAGAACTTGATAATGAAAACTACAGACTTGGCAGTTTCAGGTATTTAACTTTTTATTTAAGTTACACACACACACACACACACACACACACACACACACACACACACACGTGCGCGCGCGCGCATTTTCAAGGTAAAAATCAACTTATCCGTACAAGTTGTCAAATTATAACAGTGTTCCGAAGAAACTGAAATTATACCATGTTGTCATGTTAGCTATACATAGTTCCCTGATCTTCAAAAGTTATGTAACCTTGCTTTTTAAATTTAACACAAGAATGTGCTCACAGATTTTAAGACTTCTGCAAAATATTTTTTTTGTGCATTTGCAACTCCATTTCCAGTCAACATAATTTTTCCCTGACCATTTTCAATGGTCAGCATGGAGCTGAAATTTGATACTGATCTTCAAGAAAAAAGAGTTCATTTCTCTTTAATAGACTTATAGGTCCCATTTTCTTAAATTCCAATATCCTTCACTTCATGATAGCACCATTCATGACATTGCTTTGTGACCTCATAACTTCTATATTTACTTGAATTCTTAGGGTGTTAATCAGTGTTCACCATTCCCTTCTTGAGACTCCTTCTTTGTATTCTGTTATCCCTGCATTTCTTGTTACTCTTCATGCTTCCGTTGCTCTAAATGTTTCAAAGCCTGAGACTTCTCAGCTTCCATTCTTTGTGATCTTATCTCATTCTCGATATGCTTTCATTTTTATTTTACCAGCTTCTGGCTTCAGCCACCATTTCTAAGTTACTATTCATATTATAGCCTCAGTCTTTCTCTAGTACAGCAGACCAACCTATATTTCTAATGACTATTTATATCGATTCAACATTTCAAAGGTATTTCAATGTCATTGTGTCTAAAAATAAATACCTTCCCAATTTCTTACTCTCAAATCAATTTTTCTCCCTTTCCTAATTCTATCATTTTCTTATTACATCTTTATCTTTACTCTCCTGATATCACAATAACTTACTGGCTAATCTGCACACTGTCAACCTTACTTCAGATGGGTTTTGTTTGCATGTGAACCAGGTAAAGAGCTTAAACAAGTAATACATTTAAAACCAGAAATAAGGTGGCATTTGATGTGGGATGTCCTTTTGAACACTGCCAATATGTGTTGCTTTTATTGTTTGATGAATAAAGCTGTTTTAGCCTAGGGCAGGGTACAATATAGATATGTGGGAAATCCAAGCAGAGATATAGGCCAAAAGAAGGTAGAGTTGGAGAAATGCCAATGAGCTGCTGGAGCAACAAGATGTACTAGAGAACAGGTAATGCCATGAAGCTTTGTGGTGATACACAGATTATTAAAAATTGGTTGATTTAAATATAAGAGGTATTCACTAATAAGCCTGAGCCATCAGCCAAGAAATTATAATTAATATTAAGCCTCTGAATGATTATTTTATAGATAGCTATGGGGACCAGCAGGCCAGAGAAAAACTGAACCAAGCTAGACAGATAAAAGCTTCTGGCTACAAGTGTAGGTATAATACAGTATTTCCTTGGTGACATCAAGACCTAGACTTTCCACGCTGATCTCCTTAGCATATTTCAGAGTCACAAGATAACTTATACCTCCAGGGAGCATGTTACATATCCAAAATAGGAAGACATAGGACAGGTGTACAGTGTGCAAAGAGTACACCTGAGTCCTTTTCATCAGATTTCTGTGTATAACTAAACCAGAACCCATATAGCCACAGTCTTCACTATAAGAAGGTAGAAAATGAGTATTTTTACTCATGGTGAGGAAGGCAGAATTTCAAAGTTTAGAAATGAATGAGTTTGATTTAAATGTATATTCCCTGATTCTTAAAGCTCATCTTTCATTTTGTGACAGTCATCTTTTTGACTATTAAGTTGATGTCTCAATGAAAACTTCAGTAGCTTACCATTGCCTATAGAGTCAAATGAAAACTTACTACTATCTTATATTCTAATTCTAATCTTGCTTCTTAGACACCTTCTTTCATATGTACATTTATGACATTCCATTTGCTTAATGTACATGTTTGCTCTTTCTGCCTGTGCTATTTTCTCTCAGTTCGCCCCTTTGTCTTGTTTCACTCTACATTCTTACATCCTACCAAACTTTCAAGTATAATTTTACTGTCACCTTTTCCATCCTCCAAATAGAATTTATTAATTCATTGCAACCCCGTGTCCTTGGTATATATAAATATGATAAACCACACAAATTTTTAAATAAGTATTTTCTAATAGGCAAATATCCTTGGTGGGTATGACTGATGTATATCAGGAACTCACCCATTTATGATAGTTCTAGTTAGTTACATAATCCCAAAATACTTGGAGCTTTATAAAGCAACTGTACCAGGAAGGATGGAAACATATACAAATAAAAGTGTTGAATGTGATATCTTCTCTAACTATAACCAAAGAGCTCTAGAAGTTCAGGGATGGAATTACTTATGAAACAGTAGCAAAGAGTACTGAATGCTCAAGATAGAGAATCATGCGTTTTTCACAAGTAATGTCTTCAGAACTTAGCATCACTATAGGAAATGAATTGTAAACCTCATACCTACCTATTTCTATTTACATATACCCATACTTCATCACATATAAAACCTAAATCCTTAAGAAAATTCCATTTGAGAATTGTGCTTACCTTAATTTCAATTATGTTAAAATATGAAAATAACACTGTTGTACATTTCATGAAATATAGTTACTAAAAACTTCAAGTCCAGTGTAAGTGATTTTTGAATGATGAAATCCATTAGATTGTTAAAACTTTTACTAGACTTTAGTGTTTAGTTTGGATAATGAAGAATTGACTATCTTGAAATATCTGTAAAGCCAAATATCTACAAGAGTATTTTGCTCACTTGCTTTATTTCACAACATTTGATGTCAAAGCGATGTTTCTAAGGTGACATTCCAATGTTGAGGCCTATCTTTGGATGAGTTGTTACTAGGTGTTTTCATTCTTCCTCTGCAAGTCCCAGGAGATCCTCGAGGTTAAATCTGAACAAATGCCGGCCTTCCTCACAGGAAAGGTCTAAAGCCCCTAGGCGACTGTAGTACTCAACAGAATCCTGATTCCAAATGGTGACAAGAAATTGCATGGCACTGCAGTGGGTGTTGATGGCTTCCTGTTTTAAAACAAATAAATATTGTCCTTATTTGACAATATAGTCATTGTCTACAATATATAATACTACATGTATATAATAATTCAAAATACTATGGGTATTTTAGGACAAGAAGAATCTTTTATACCATTGTGAGTCACATTGTGGGTCTATTTTATGAGTAAAATTGCGTTCTACTCTTCTTCATGCTTACTTCTCCTTGATGGGAAAAAACACATATAGTGTGTGCATTATATAGGAATAAAAGCTAATTAAATATAAGTTACAGAATCTGATTTTTCAACTTGAAGATCCACTTTAATAAATATTTGAAGTGCACCTTGCAAAAATGTTTTGTGTATGTGAATGCACATGTTCATATGGGTTTGGGATGCGTGTGTGTGCATGCATGTGGTGAGCAGAGGACAACTCCAGCTGTTATCCCTCAGGTGCTCTCCACTTTTTGATTGAGGCAAAGTCTCTAACTGGCCTGAAATTTCACTACGTAGCTTAGGGTGGCGGCCAGTGAGCACAAAAGTTCCAAGTCTCTACCTCTCCCCTTGCCATTGCCGACATAAAAGTGTGTATCACCACTCCTGACTTTTTATGTGGGTTCTGAGAATTGAATTCAGATTCTCATGTTTACACGACAAGCACTTTACCAAATGAACAAATCCTGGTGTTATACTTAATTAGTTAGATTAGTTACATAATCTTTGCCCTGTTAAAGAACGCTTGATGAAGAAAAGGATAACATGTAGACTATTAATACTAACTATAATACATACCTGACTTAGTTTCTTCAGCATGTCACCCCCAATACCCAGACCTATGAAATAGACATTGTTAAATAAGGCTGTAAATTGAAGTTTTTCACATAAGTAGTCATTTAATTTTAAAGCAATAAAAGATCAAACTCTGTTTATGGTTGCCATATATTGTGCTATATACATAATATGTGTTGGAACTGAACTCATGAATGCTTTAAATTATCTTTTATTTTATTGGAACATGGCAACAATGGTAATACAGAAGAGGTTAGCTCTATCTTAAAATCCATGGTAAATAAATGAATCTTTGTCTTTGTATTCTTTCTTCTTCTTAAGAAATGGTTTCACCATCTATTGTTGGATGGCTTGGAACTTGAATTCACAGAGATCTACCTTCCTCTAAATCTTCTAAATACTGGAATAAAAGGTTTATGTCACTAGGCTGGCCATCACTGCTTTCATAGAATGGGGTATATTTCTTAACTATGTCTATTATTACAGATAAAAATAGTAGTTGGAGATAGCATAGCTTACTCAATACTATTGAAATACTTTCTAACTTGTAGTTGAGTCTTCACTGTACTAGGATCCTGATCCAGTTCAAGAAATAGAAATTAGTTATCTGAATATCTTAAAATCCTATCTATAGTCTTTATATTACAATGGAACTTAGAAACTTTTAAATGTTTGTAAATACTACTGATTGTAGTTTTACCTTGGTAATCTTCACTGATGTAAAAATCCTCTAGGTGAAGAGTTTTACCAACCCAGGGATCGTATGTGTAGTAGTACATGGCAAATCCAATAGTATTTACTTCTGGGGAGAAGAAAGGGGCAAAAAGGCTAATGCTTTCATTCACAAAAAGTTATATGTCTTCGAATAGAATTTAAAAGTTTATTTGCTGTTTTAACTATTAAAGCAATAAGTGGTTGCTGGACAAATTATCAGTACATAAATTTATAATGTAGAAAATACTTTTCTTATAAAATAGCATTTAAAAGAAAGTATGATTAGATATGCATTCTTATAATTTTTAATGCTTTTATAAGCAGCGTGGCATAACAGTTATTTAAAAGTATACCAGGTTTGCATATTGTACTCCTGTGCTTAATACTATTTACACATTTTGTATTTATTAGCTGTTAATTCTGCTTTCAGATACAGAAAATATATTTTAGATTAAACTGGAGAAAAAATATTTACCCAATTCTGTCTGTTGACTGGGTGCTTCAGCAATTAGGCAGTAGAAAAGTGGATGTTCTCCAAAACCATCCCTGAATAAATCTGAAATATCAATTCACATACAATATGTCAGCGTTTATAAGCAAACAAAGATGGGCTGCAAGATAAGAAGCAGTAGGAACACGTCTTCTAGCTACATAGTAGCTATGTAGTAAAAACCATCTGAAGTGAGTATTTCAATCTTTACAACTTCAGGAGAAGTCTGACTAGAATCTGCTGTTAATTTTGGCTAAATGTAGCTATGCATGCGGTGTCAACTACCTACCTATCTCCCTTTGAGTTTTCTAGCAGCTATCTAGAAATTACAGCTTGTGTTTGTTGAAGTAGTTTATTGAAGCCTGGTTGATCAATAACTGTTTTGTCTGTAATGTACTGTGGCTTTATGTTTTAAGTAGACTTCGACTCAGGTTGTTGAAATGAAGACATGGAGACTGATTGTTGTTATTCCAACCTCCACCAACTGGAGTGACTTCTTGGAATTTAAGTGAATTTAATTTCCTGTTTTCTGTTTCTATGGGAATTCTCTCTCTCTCTCTCTCTCTCTCTCTCTCTCTCTCTCTCTCTCTCTCTCTCTCTCTGTGTGTATATCCCTCCCTCCACCCTCTCTTTTTGTGTTTTGAAGGAAAGAGAGAATTTTAAATTTCAACTCAGTCTCGTAATCCCTGATACAAAGAACCTACAATAATAATATACACTAATTTTTTTTAGAAAATTAACAAAGTGCAAAAGAAATTAATGAAGGACAAAGAAAGGACATACAAATCCAGAAGTGACTCTTTTGAGTAATTATAAAAAGATTACTCCATTAAAATACAATGTTGAACATAATGGATACTTTTTTTTACATTTTTGCTTTTAGTGTGTGTGTAGAGGGTGGTAGTCAGAGGACAACTGGCAAGAGTCAGTTCTTTCCTTCCACCATGTGGGTTCTAAGACTCAAACTCAAGTTAGGTCTTTACTCACAGCTCCATCTTCCAGACCCAAATACACTAAAAAAAATTTAGTTATAATTTTTACAAGAAATACTTTGGATTTAAAGAAACAAGAAGGTTAAAAAATGAAGTGTTAGAAAAGATTCCATGCCAATGTAGGTAAAAGAAAGCCTGGTTAGCTATACTATTGTAAAATTATATATTACTTAAGGAGATAGTGGAATTGTGTAATTATAACAATTTAAATCACTTATAGAGCAGGCAATATACAGCAAGCCAACAGCCAACATCAAACTAAATGGATAGAAACTCCCAATGATTCCACTGAAATCAGGAATAAGACAAGTTTGTCCACTCTCTCCATATCTATTCAATATAGTGTTTGAGGTCCTAGCTAGAGCAATAAGACCACAAAATAAGATCAAGGGGATACAAATCAGAAAAGAAGTCAAACTCTCACCGTTTGCTGATGATATGGTAGTTTACATAAGCAATCCCCAAAATTCTACCAAGAAACTTCTACAACTCATATACACTTTCAGTAATGTAGCAGGATACAATATTAACTCAAAAATATCAGTAGCTCTCGTGTATAAAATAGATGATAAAAGGGCTGGGAAAGAATCAGACAAATAATACCCTTCACAATAGCCACAAATAGCATAAAATATCTCGGAGTAACTTTAACCAAACAAGTGGAAGACTTGTATGACAAGAATTTTATTTTATTTTATTATTATTATTATTTTTTGGTTTTTCGAGACAGGGTTTCTCTGTAGCTTTGGAGCCTGTTCTGGAACTCCCTTTGTAGACCAGGCTGGCCTCGAACTCACAGAGATCCTCCTCCTGCCTCTGCCTCCCAAGTGCTGGGATTAAAGGCGTGCGCCACCACCGCCCGGCAAGAATTTTAAATCTTTGAAGAAAGAAATTGAAGAAGACACTAGAAAGTGGAAAGATCTTCCATGCTCTTGGGTAGGCAGAATTAACAGAATACAAATGATAATTTTACCAAAAGCAATCTACAGATTGAATGCAATGCCCATCAAAATCCCAGCAAAACTCTTCACAGACCTTGAAATAACAGTATGCAACTTCGTATGGAAAGTGGCAGCAACATGGCAGGGAGCGTGGCAGGAGTATGGCAAGATCGTGGCAGCAGAGTGGCAGGAGCATGGCAGGTAGCATGACAGAAGTGTGGCAGAAACATGGCAGGAGCACAGCAGCGAGCATGGCAAGGGTATGAAAAGCATGGCAGGAGTATGGCAAGAGCGTGGCAGGGAGCGTGGTAGGACTATAGCAAGTGTGTGGCAGGGGGTATGGCAAGGAGAGTGGCAAGAGAGGGGCAGGGAGCATGTCAGTGTACCAAGTGCATGGCAAGAGTGTGGCAGGGAACATGGCAAAAAGTATGGCAAGAGTATACCAAGATCGTGGCAGGAGCGTGGCAGAGAGCGTGGCAGGACTATATAGCAAGATCATGGCAGGAAGTGTAGCAAGATCATGGCAGGGAGTGTGGCAAAATTGTGGCAGGTAGTGTGGTAGGAAAGTGGCAGGAGCGTGGCAAGAGTATGGCAGGAGAGTGGCAATAGCACGGCAGGGAATGTGGCAAGGAATGTGGCAGGAGTATAGCAAGTGCATGGCAAGAATGTGGCTGGGAGCATGTCAAGATCATGTTAAGATCGTGGCAGGAAACATGGCAGGAGTATACTAAGAGCATGACAGGGAATGTGGCAAGACTGTGGCAGGGAATGTGGTAAGAAGCATGGCAGGAGTATACCAAGAGAATGGCAGAGAACGTGGCAAGGAGAATGGCAGGAGTATACCAAGAGCGTGGAAGATACTGTGGCAGAGAACATGGCAAGAGCATGGAGGGGACCGTGGCAAGATCATGGCAAGATTGTGGCAGGGGCATGGCAAGAGCATGGCAGGGAGTGTGGCAGGACTATAGCAAGATCATGGCAGGCAGCTTGGTAGGGAACGTGGCAGGGAACATGGCAAGATCGTGGCCAGTTTGTGTCAAGAGAGTGGCAGGGGCGTGGAAGCTGAGTGGCAGGTATCATGGCAAGAGCGTGGTAGGAAGCATGGCAAGGAGTGTAGCAGAAGTCTAGCAAGAGCACAGTGGGAGCATGGCAGGACAGTAGCTAGTGCGTGATAGGGAGCATGGCGGGGAATGTGGCAAGGGTATACCTAGAGCATGGCGGGGAATGTGGCAAGGGTATACCTAGAGCATGGCGGGGAATGTGGCAAGGGTATACCTAGAGCATGACGGGGAATGTGGCAGAGAGCATGGCAAGATCATGAAAAGGAATGTTTCCAGAGCATGGCAGGGAACGTGGTAAGGAGCATGGCAGGAGTATAGCAAGAGCATGGAAGGGAACATTTTGAAGAATGTGGCAGGAGCATAGAAAGAGCCTGGCAGGGAACGTGGTGAGGAGCGTGGCAGTAGTATAGCAAGAGCGTGGCAGGGCCCATGGCAGGGAAAGTGGTGAGGAGCGTGGCAAGAGTATATCAAGAGTGTGGCAGGGAATGCGATAAGGAGCATGGCAGGAGTATAGCAAGGGCGTGCCAGGGAACGTGGAAGGGAATTCGGTCTGGATTGTGGCAGGAGTATAGCAAGATTGTGGCAGGAAATGTGGCAAAGAGCGTGGCAGTAATATAGCAAGTACGTGGCATGGGACATGGCAAAAGCATGGCAGGGAACATGGTAAGAAGCATGACTAGAGTATGGCGAGAACATGGTGGGAGCGTGGCAGGGAACGTGGCAAAGAGTGTGGCAGGGAACGTGGCAAGGAGCATGGAAGTACTATACCAATTGCGTGTCAGGGAACGTTGAAAGGAGCATATCAGGAGTACACCAAGAACTTGGCAGGGAACGTAGTAGAGAATGTGTGTGTGACAGGGAATGTGTCAGGGATCATGGCAAGGAGTGTGGCAGGAGTATACCAAATCATGGCAGGGAATGTGGCATGAATCGTGGTAACAAGCGTGGCAGGAGTATAGCAAGAGGGTGGCGGGAGTGTGGCCTGGAACATGGTAAAGAGCATGTCAGGGAACGTGGTAAGGAACATAGCAGAAGTATAGCAAGTGTATGGCAGGGAACATATCAAGAGCTTGGTAGGCACCATGGTGAGGAGCATGGCAGAATTATAGGAAGAGGGTGGTCAGGAATGTGGCAAAGAGCATGGCAGGGAATGTGGCAGGGAATGTGGCAGGGAATGTGGCAAGGAACATGGAAGAAGTATACCAAGAGCTTGGCAGGGACGTGGCAGAGAGCATGGCAAGATCATGAGAAGGAGTGTGGTGGGAGCGTGGTAATAGCGTGGCAGGAAATGTGGCAAAGAACATGGCAGGGAATGTGTGCATGGCAGGGAACGTGGTAGAGAATGTGGCTAGAACCATGGCAGTAGTATACCATGAACATGGCATGGAACGTGGCAAAGAGCATGGCAGGAGTATAGAAAGAGCATGGCGGGAGTGTGGCAGGGAACGTGGCAGAGAGTAGAAGGGAATGTGGCAAGGAGCATGGCAGGGAATGTGGCAAGAGTATAGCTGGGAGCGTGGCAGAGAGCATGTCAAGATCATGAAAAGGAGTGTGGCAGAAGCATGGCAAGAGCATGACAGGAAACGTGGCAAGGAGCGTGGCAAGCACGGTGGCAGGGAATGTGGTAAGAAGCATTGCAGGAGTAGAGCAAGAGCATGGCAGGGAACGTGGCAGTGATTGTGGTAAGGAGTGTGGCAGAATAGCAAGAGCGTGGCAGGGCAAGTGGCAAGAGTGTTGCATGAAACATGGTAAAAAAGTGGCAGGAGTGTATCAAGAGCATGACAGAAGCCTGACAGGGAACGTGGCAAAGAGTGTGGCAGGGAACATGGCAAGAGCATAGCAGGGAGCATGGCAGAGAACATGGCAAGATCATGAAAAGGAGCCTTCTTCCTCCCTTCAGTGGGGCCACAAGATCCTCCAGCTCAGCCTGTTTGGGCACTGAGACAGGTGCTGAGGGCAATGGGGCAGGCGGGAGTTCCTTTGCTTCAATAGCCTGCCTGCAGCAAGGTAGGCCTTTGGTCAGTGAGTCCCTGGCCAGCAAGGGAACCTGACCCTGTTCCGGAAGACCCATC